TCATAGAGACATTTGTGAGTGTTGAGACATTTCTTTTGTGTTCCAGTGATTTTTCTCTTAGTGACATTCAGTGACTCTTGATCAGACTCAGTGTTTATTATATACTGATTGCAATATTCTTTTTTTCTCTTCTTAATTCAGTGTTATTTTTCGTGCTTTATCTTATGTCTGTTGTGTTGTGTTTCTTTTTTTTTATATACTTGAATTAAGTACCTTAGTGTTTTTCCTTTGTTGTGTGTGCAACATATGAGCAGTATAGAACTTGTGTTTACACTTCAGAATCACCTTGTGTTCTCAGTATTCCAGTGAAGTATTTCAGTAAATTTTTCACCTCATATTCTGCATCACAACTCAGTGTTGTCTGTTATATTTTTTTTTTCTTCCCAGCTTTTGTGTATTTTTGTTTTGTTCCCTGTGTGTTGAATATTCTTGTGTTCATATTCTTTCATTTAGCCAGTGTCTAATTTGATTTATTTCCATAGACAATAGTGCCATTATTTTGTGCAAGCAAGAAATCATTTTTTACAAAATTTTTCACACATCAAGTTTCATTGCAAGAAAATTCTAGTACTGTGTTTATGTTGATGTGTTGTATTCTGCATCACTGTAAGTGTTCAAACTTTCTTTGTTATGTGTTTTAGCACCTATTATTTTTCATGTTTCATTGAACAAATTCACTCTTAGTGCAATTTTTAAGTTCTTCTTTTAGAGTAAATTGTTCTTTTGCTTGTTAAGTGTTGCTTGAGTGCAGTTAAGAGTTAAAGTGTTCATTCCTTGATATATTTCTTTTCTTGTGTGTAATAATTTTTATTATTGCACATTGATTCATTTTGCAATAATTCTTGTGCAAATATTGTGTTGCCACTAAAGTTTTTCTTGCAGAGATTCTAAGCAGTGTTTTTTTTTGATTAGCAATTATTTGCAATATTGCTACAGTTTATTTCAGTGCAGTTTCATATGCTCTGTTCTGTGCATAATATTTTATTCTGTCTGTGTCATTTTATTTTATTTCAGTGAATTGTGCCTCTAATTCATTTTTGCACAAGATTTATTGAGTCCATTTCATCATTTTGTTGTGTATTTCCCTGTTGCATTGAAAGTAAAGACAGCTCACTGTGCCATTCATTCAATTTAAAGTAAAAGTTGAGCAAATCAGATTTGAGTAAAGTATAAGTTCTCTTGATTTTCAAAGTGTTCTTCAATCAGTTGCATATTTTTCTTGTGTGAGTTCTTTACTTACTGTGTGACCTGTCAACTTTTAATTACTTACGCAGAATAGTTAAGCATTTTCTTCCATTTAAGCTTATTGTGTCATTCTCTCCATTTTTCTTGCCTTATGTACTTGAGTAAGTTCACTGAGAAGATGTCCCAGTCACTTTTGAACGTTCACTTAGTGTATCATGCCAGTCAAAGTCAATATGAATCAGTCCACAGTACCAATATTTCCTTACCGACTGAAAGACAATTCCTAGTCCATGAGCAATGTGTTTGTTCTCATAGCTTGTATCTGAGATTTGTTAAAGTGCTGCGAAATGTGAAGTTCAGATTAAGTTCCTATAGATTCGTTCATTACTTATTAACGTAGCCGAGCGGTCAGGCACTAGTAACTCTGTCACTCCCATCTGTGTTCCACCTACACCTTCAGACTTGCAAGATAGTGTTCCGTTGCCTCAAGTGTCCGAGGACACTCAGACTGCCTTGAGTGCACAGCCTATCCCTGCAATGACTGCTAGTTCGAGTAGTAGTTTCTCCACAGGGGATGCCTTGTCAGAAAACGATTACTTGAAACTAGTATTGCCATCTGTTGTTGATGTGACATGCTGTCTGCAGAAAGACGTCTCTGTTACAGCTAGTGTTCTCACTAGAGTGTCTGTTGTTGTTCCTAATGTTCCAGATGGTGATCCCATCCTAGTTGACAGTAATCAGTGCATTGTAAGAAGTTATTTCTCGAGTAACTTTCACGTGTTGCTAACGTTTGTAAGTGTAGTTTCTTTATAGCTGATACCTCGTGTTACTGTGTGTGACTCAGATTGAATATCAGCATTGTTGACTGTGTTCATTTATTTTCTCCTGTGCTTGCAGTTTGAGATAGTAGATTCGTTCTCCTTTGCTCATATTGCGTGTTAAAGCGTTAATTTTTTCAACAGGGGGGAGTCATCCACTCCACCGAGTTTGTTCATTCCTCCAGTAAGAAAGAACCGATCTCTTGTGTTCTGGTGTGATTCGATTCCTGCTCCAGGAAGATCTTATTCTTACTGTGAAGCCACCAGCACCCATTAGTGACTTTGTAATGAGCCAAGAATTACTGTATCGAATAGTCGAGTTGAGTACTCCTAGCAGAAGAATTAGTAATTCCACAGTCACTAGTGATTGTAGCTGTATCTTTTGTGGATACTCGTTCAGATTGTCCATGTAGCTGTATCTTTTGTAGATACTCGTTCAGACTGTCCTCAGTCAAGGCATGTGTTAGCCATTGCAGAGGAATTCGATCCTCCCAGAGGTGATATCCATTCTGCATACGTAAACCTTACCCTCACAGAATTGGGTTTAAGTGTAAACAGCCTGTATAATTAGATGTCTGAGATGAATGAAATTATCACCTGTGTGTTTTGTTATTAGCTGATCAGTTGTCAGAAATTTTCATGTTCACGTTCCCTCCGTATTCTGAGAATTTGACAGTAATAGTCTGAGTGCACCAGATGCCTTTGCTGTTAATTTCACCTTGTATGTATATATATATATTTATTCTTCCTCAGAATCCGTAGAGTGCTTGAATACAGATCGATCGATCAATTCCATCCATATTGTACAATGATTTGCTCTTATAGTTTGTAATGCATTACGTTAAAACTCATTACGTTAAAACTCATTACGTTAACACCCATTACGTAAAACTCATGTTGTAATATCCATTATGATACCATCCATTAGTTCTAAGTTATATATGAATTTGTTATTGTATAGAATCAGCCCAGAACCGCCTGTCTGTTCAGCCTATAGATAGTAGTGTATGTCGAGACGACATACATAACATGACCAAGCTGTCAGCATAGTTGCTGATCCCTGTGTTATATAGCATAGCATATTAGTATCATCCATGTGCTTTAGATAGGAGATCCCTTGTAGGCCTGTGACTTTGTGTGACGTCACGGGATGCGCATGTGTAGGCTCGTACCTCTGCCTCCCCCTCACTCGGCGGCAGACCATCCAGACAAGAAGACGGCAGGCTGGGCTCCATTCCTCATCAGCTCAGTCTGACAATATATGTTACCATCCAACAAGTGTGTCTACCTTCAACCCTCGATATCTCCATTTAAGAACCCCTACGATATCCAGAGCCCAAGACTGTTCAACAGCCTCCCATCAAGCATTAGGAGAATTGCCGTTAAACCTCTGGCTGCCTTCAAGAGAGAGTTAGACAGGTACCTAAAGTCAGTGCCGGATCAGGCGGGCTGTGGCTCGTACATTGGACTGCGTGCGGCCAGCAGTAACAGCCTAGTTGATCAGGCCCTGATCCATCGGGAGGCCTGGTCATGGACCGGGCCGCGGGGGCGTTGATCCCCGGAATAACCTCCAGGTAACCTCCAGGTAGCAATATCTTGCGAGTATATGGGTGTAATCCTTTTTTGTCAGTTAATTTGTGTCGGGTTTATTTGGTCAGTGTACGTACCTTCAGGATTGAGATCCATACTGTTTTCCTTTTTATTTTTTATTTTTATGTTATGCTGTATTGGTTTTAAATAAAATATAAAAAAATGAAAAGCAGGGGCGTCACTTGCACGTTAATTAAAAAACAACACAATAAGTGTCAGGGGTCCAAGACTGTTCAACTGCCTCCCAGCATACATAAGGGGGATTACCGATAGACCGGCTGTCTTCAAACAAGCACTGGACAGGCACCTAAAGTCAGTACCTGACCAGCCGGGCTGTGGTTCGTACGTTGGATTGCGTGCGGCCAGCAGTAACAGCCTGGTTAATCAGGCCCTGATCCACCAAGAGGCCTGGTCACAGACCGATCCGCGGTCTGTGTCCAGGTAAACATGATTGCTGGCCCCAAGGGGTCTTTCATATGTGATGTCCTCAATATCTGCACTACTCAAGGTAAATACTAGGTCCAGTCTCGCTGGTTCATCCTCTCCTCTCTCTCTCTCTTGTAGTGTCCCTTACGTGTTGGTACATGAAGTTTTCCAGTACCACCTCCATCATCTTAGCCCTGCACGTTTCTTGTCCTCCATGTGGCTCCAAGTTTTCCCAATTGATTTCCTTGTGGTTAAAGTCACCCATGATCAGTAGCTTTGCCCTGCTCACATGAGCTCATCTTGCCACTTCAACCAGTGTGTCAACCATCGCTCTATTACTCTCATCATGCTCTTGCCTCGGCCTCCTGCTGTTCTGTGGTGGGTTATACATCACTGCAATTACCACCCTGAGACCTCCAGACTGAAGTGTTCCTATTATGTAATCTCTAGCTTCTCCTTTGTCTCCTCTCTCCAACTCATCAAAATCCCATCGGTTTTTTACCAGCAGTGCCACTCCTCCACCCCCCCCCCCACTTCCCTCTGTCTTTCCTCAGGATCTAATATCCTGTTGGAAAGATGGCATCTGTTATCATATCTTTGAGGGCTATGATGTCCTGTGTGTGTGTGTATGTGTGTGTGTGTGTGTGTGTGTGTGTGTGTGTGTGTGTGTGTGTGTGTGTGTGTGTGTGTGTGTGTGTGTGTGTGTGTGTGTGTGTGAAATATTATGCATATAAGTATACATATCGGTTAACTCAATTGCTTATGCTGTGTTAGCCTTATTTTAACAGAAATATTTCATAGACCAGTACTTGACAATATGATTTATAAGAACATACAAATTTTTTTTTCAAGTGATATTTATGGCTAATTGCCTAAACTTATAATATTTTTTAATAGCTTATGGAAAATAATCCAGCACATAACCACCTAAAGTTACTACTTTTTATTTCGAAATTTAAATTAAAGCTTATTTTTGTATAGGTACAAGGATTGTAAGGTTTACGTTATTTGGAAGGACAATGAGAACATACCTAAGACTCAGCATGTTGATGAAATCCTAAAAGACAGCATTAAAAAAAACACAAAACCGTAAGTATATGCCTTCCAGTATTTCATTAATATGACTATTTATCCATAACTACTGAATAAGTAATATATATATATATATATATATAATATATATATATATATATATATATATATATATATATATATATATATATATATATATATATATATATTTATAGGCACTCTGACGTAAACATCAGTTTTCATAGAAATAAATGTTTTTAGTAGGTTGTTTCTTTGTAGGCTAGTTTGGAATTTTAACAGCACTGTTTTTTTACCCGCTTGGTAGCCCATCAGTTTGCAATCCTTTAGGTCATCACTATGTATGTTAAGGCGAAGGTGGTCCTTGATAAGCTGTAGGGTGGTCTCCATGCAGGTTTCTTGGGTGACTGTGGGTGGGAGATGTTTGCTGTTAATTACAACAGCGTCAGATAGCTGCTGTTGGTCATTATGGTCTTGGAAGTTGGTTATGACATTGGCAAGTTGTTGGTCCACTCTTGATCTTTCCTCTATAATGTTGGTAGTAAGTAGGGTGACTTGGTCTTTTAGAGTGTTGATGGTGTCTAGGGACTGGGTGTGGGTGTTGCTTTATTGTTCCAGAGTGTCTAGTTTATGTTCTAGAGCAGTGATCTTGCTTAGGTACTCTGCATTGCTAGCTTTTACTTCCTGCATTTCTTGAGTTAGTTTGGTGATCGTTTGGTTCTGAATCGTAAGGAGTTTAGCTATTTCTGGGTCTATTTCTGGATCTTTTTGACATCAAATCCTGGGAAGGAGTTATCTTGGACTGTGGCGGCGGCCATGTTTGTTGTTGTCTGTCGTGTGTTGTGGTGATGCCTGTGGGTGATGAGGGTTGTGTCCTGGCTGCCAGCACCACAAGTTTTCCTCGTGTTATTACTGGTTTCACCTTTGATGTTAGGAGTCCTTAGCTGGTTACTGGATCTTCTTTTATTGCTCTGACCTTTGTCCATTGGCTGTGGCTTCGGGTGAATAGTATGCGATGAGTGATGGATGAATGTTGTGGAGTATCACTTCAGTGGCAGCGGGGTAGGAGGTGGTAATACGAGTCCTATTAGTTGGTAATTTGTGTACTTTTGGGTGATTTCTGCAGTAGATTTATATCATTCTGGGTATCCACACATGTTAGTCTTATGTGGGTCTTGATTAGGCCATCACTGGGCTGCTGGGAACCTCAGGTAGAAGTAAAAATAGAGGACAAGGTTCCTGTTCCTGTTGCCTGTACGTGTAAAGATATATTTTTTTTCATTAATGTTAATGTAAAATTTTTTAATTTTGCACCAAAAGTATCTTAGAAAATTTACCTAACCTTATTATAACAAGAGTAATTTATTTTAGCCTAACCCAACTAAATATATTTTAGATTCGTTTACAATAATTTAATACTAAACAAACACAGTGAAATATATTTTTTTCGTTAGGTTAAGAATGATTTGGGCGAAATTATTCCATACACAAATTTTCGCTTGTCCTATATGGCAAGATGAGCGTTGCTATTTAAGCCAAGATCGCAAGTTCTGCCTATTCGGCACGACATATATATATATATATATATATAATATATATATAATATATATATATATATATATATATATATATATATATATATATATATATATATATATATATATATATATATAGGTATATGTAAACACACACACACTCACACACACACACACACACACACACATACACATACAAGAGGTTAATGTAAAAGCTAGAGAATAACAGGAAAGGCACTCCAATGGATCAGAGAATATCACATAAGGAGGCAACAACGAGTCATGGTGCGTGTCGAGGTATCACAGTGGACGCCTGTGACGAGCGGGGTCCCACAGGGGTCAGTCCAAGGACCTGTGCTGTTTTTGGCATATCTGAATGACATAACGAAAGAGTGTCCTTGTTTGCAGATGATGTGAAGCTAATGAGAAGAATGAAACCGGTCGGGGATCAGGCAGGACTACAAAGAGACCTGGAAAGGCTACAAGCCTGGTCCAGCAACTGGCTCCAGGAATTTAACCCCGCAAAATGCAAAGTCATTAAGATCGGGGAAGGGCAAAGAAGACCGCAGACAGAGTATACTCTAGGTGGCCAAAGACTGCAAACCTCACTCAGTGAAAAGATCTTGGGATGAGCCTGGCATACCTAAAGATAGCGTTCCAATACCTCAGTAAGGAATCGTTCAAGACTCTGTACACCATATACGTCAGGCCCATACTGGAGTATGCAGCATCAGTTTGGAATCCACACCTGGTCAAGAAATTAGAGAAAGTGCAAAGGTTTGCAAAAAGACTAGGCCCAGAGCTAAGGGATTGACCTACGAAGAAAGGTTAAGGGAAATGGGCCAGAAGACACTGGAGGACAGGAGGGTCAGGGGAGACATGATAACGTTACTTAAAATACTGTGAGGAATTGACAAGGTGGACAAAGACGGGATGTTCCAGAGACGGGACACAGAAACACGGGGTCACAATTGGAACTTGAAGACTCCTACGAGTCAATAAGATGTTAGAAAGTATTTCTTCAGTCCTAGAGTTGTCAGGAAGTGAAATAGCCTAGAAAGCTGGATGCGCTACTCTTAAGGATTTTATGGTCCAGTGGATTAAGGCATCATGAGTTTTCGCCCACCATGAGGCAGGCCAAAGCAGCATAGGTTCGAGTCCTTGGCTAGTCGTAGTGTTGTTATTGATCAATATCACTCGTTCGTAGGCACAATAATATAAAAATACTGCTTGTTGTACTAGTACACCAAACAGGGACTAGAATGAAATTAGCCTAGAGTCATCCACACCATCGTATGTCCTTAGGTAGCGAGTGCAACCTACAGTTCCGCTGGATGCGCTACTCTTAAGGATTGTATGGTCCAGTGGATTAAGGCATCATGAGTTTTCGCCCACCATGAGGCAGGCCAAAGCAGCATGGGTTCGAGTCCTTGGCAAGTCGCAGTGTTGTTAAAATATATAATATATAAATATATATATATATATATTATATATATATATATATATAATATATATATATATAATATATATATATATATATATATATATATATATAATATATCTCAAATAGCTGGTTTTATAATATGCAAAACAACCACTATGAAAGAATAGTGAAATTCCAAGCGCTTTCGTGACTTCTCACATTATCAAGGAAATATAAAAGTGACACATCAAAGGAAGGCATATAAAGGGTCTAGACTACACCTCACCATCATATCCCACAACAAAGCAACACCTGATGCGCGACGACACCCGATTCATAAAAAAGGAGAAACACTGAAGCAGGCCTGCTGGCCTAACTAGACAGATACATTGCGATATCCCACTAACAAAATATTCTACCCAAGAATTAAGATTTATTATTTGTCCAATGTATTATTAAATTCTTCCTAAATTTTATTAATTATAAATGAATCTAATTTATATAAACCAAAGGAAATATTCATATCATTTTCAAAACTGCTTTTTATGAAACAATATTCAATTATATTTCTGTCAACCATGGACTTACTTGATACAACTTTCTCAACTTTTTGAAAATCAATTGGATGGTTAAAATCTCTCACGTAAATAAATAAAGCATTGGAATGATATTTTATGTCATATGCCCAAGAATGTAGATATACACCATTTCCTTGTTAAATTAAATAGCTTGGCCCATCCTATAAACTTTTTGAGGAAAATAACTCATTGCCTTTTCTAGATGTTTTAATTATTAAGGGTAATAATAAATTCAAATTTAAAATTTACAAAAAACCTACAAATAACTGTTCCTATGTCCACTATTATTCTTCACATCGAGATAGAATTAAACTGTCAGTTTTCTCATGAATGTTTTTGAAGCTTCGCGTATTTGTAGTCCAGAGTTCACAGATGAAGAAATATCCAAAATTTATGAAATAGCTAATGATCTGAAATACCCAAGAAACGTAATTGATAAATCTTTTAAAATTGCTAGAAATACTTTTTACATTCCAAAATGGGACAACCAGCCTCATTCAACTAAAAATATGTTGGTTCTCCTTTACTATGAAAACTTGGTTGATATGTCTTCTCTTCTTAAGACTTTTAATATCAAAGTTGTATTTAAAAATCTTGATACAGCAAAAAAAACTTTTGATAAAGAATTCCCCCCCCCCAAAAAAAAAAAATGTTGACGGAGGTGTCTATAAGATTCCTTGTAAAATTTGCGATAAAGTTTATTACGATCAACCTGGTAAAAGTCTCGAACTAAGAATAAAACAACATAAATATGGAACTTAGTCAGCCATTAACGAGTGTGTTTAATGCGTCCATCCTTACTGGTGTTGTGCCTGAGTAGTGGAAGATGGCTAATGTGGTTAATATAATCAAATCAGGGGATAAGTCCGTTCCTTCAAATTGCCGTCCAATAAGCCTGACATTATTAGAAGTCGTCTTTAAGAACATAATTTGATTAATGGATCTCAGCATGGGTTCACGAGAGGTCGTTCCTGCCTGACAAATTTACTGATGTTCTTCAATAGAACATTTGAGGCAGTAGACAGTGATAAAGAATATGATATTGTTTATTTGGAATTTAGTAAAGCCTTCGATAGAGTACTTCATAAGAGACTCTTAACAAAAGTGGCAGCTCATGGTACAGGAGGTGAAGTTCTAGCATGGATAGAGGCATGGCTTACTAATAAAAAGCAGAGAGTTTCCATTAATGGGGTAAATCTGAATGGGGATTAGTCACTAGTGGCGTTCCACAAGGATCAGTTTTAGGCCCTCTCTTGTTCATAATTTACATTAATGACCTTGATGAAGGGATTACGAGTGACATGAGCAAATTTGTTGATGATACAAAGATAGGCCGTATGATTCATTCTGAGGAGGATAGCAATGAACTCCAGGAGGATTTGGATAAATTAATGTCTTGGTCTGAAAAATGGCAGACGAAGCTCAATGTGGATAAGTGTAAGGTAGTAGTTCATGGTAATGAAAATAACCCTCTAAGCTATAATCTAGGTGAAATAGAGCTTG